ATTCATATGGTCTGTGAAGCTGAAATAGCGACAGGTTTGCTAACACTCCACAGAGCTTGCACCAATTTGCATGCTCACAAGCAGAACCGGAGAGTTTCCCCTACATCTTCACCGATGCCGAGTGGTACCCAACAGTTTGCCAGGTAGCAAAGAGAACCACTGTTGTATTTTGCATTTATTTTTTGGGGGTACAGGTGAGAATCCTGTCATCTGTTTGAATTTAATTTATACTTCTTTTCCTGTCATCAGCCAAATCAAATCTTTGCTCTTTTCTTTCTTTTTTCCTTGTTTGGACAGGGTGGATGGTCCTGGATTTGCAAGAGCTCTTTATCCACGAAATTAACTCTTGTCATAACAATGACAAATATTTTTACTAGCTTATATGCCTGGACATAGAGGGGTTTTGTTTTGTTTTGCTCATGTAGAACATATTAACTTTCAGGTAGGCAGACTCGGCAACCTTCAACTTCAAGGCAAGGCCTGTACTTCTGTACATTAGACTGTACTGCCTTCCCTACTTAGTGCTTTGAAGGGGCTGTTCCCAATCTGGGCTGACCTCCTGGTCCTTTGACCTGGGGCCTCCTTACTGGTCTTTCTGCAGAGCCATGGGAGCATGCCCCTCAGCACAGGAGTTGTGCCTGGAAATAGTTCTCTGGGGGCCTGGAGAGAAGGCCCGCAAAGGCCCCCAAGCCCAGAGGGGTCTCCGAGATCAGGCTTTTATGGGGGTCAGTGGTGGAGTGGGGACATTCTTCCCTAGGAAACAACTTTTCCCTTTTTCCCCAGGCTCTAAGATGGAAGGCCCTAAGACTGGAAGCTGTAAGGCTAGGAAAGAGAGTAAGTTATAAAAAATAAAACCCCAGGCACTCACCAGGCCCCTCCCAGTGGTTCTTTCCAGCCTCCAGGGCTGAGGGAGTGGTGGGAGGGCGGAGATGCACCTTTGTCTTTTGACTTATCCTCTAGTTTGGGTCTTTGCTGAGGACAGACTCTCACCATTAGCCCTCTTTTCTAGAAGGAACTGGATACAGGTAGCTGAAAAGGATTTTCAAAATCCACACACAACTTTTCTTTCACAACAGAAATTTCCCGTGAATTTCTTGAAGAACTGTCGTAGGGGTTACCGGTCTCACAGTCGAGTCTCTGATTTGAAGGGTGGGCCTGAGAATCCGCATTCTCACAAGCATTAGGTCATGTGGAGGCTGTTGGTCTGGGACGACACTTTGAGACCACTGGTTTAGGTCTTTCACTCCCTGGGCTTTCTCATCTGCGACCGGGCAGTGGTGTGAGTGGGGCCGAGATTCGAGTAACCCAGGCCTCATTCTAATCAAATAATCAAGCAATTGCTCAGTGCTGGCTACTTGGCTAGGCGCGGAGCATCCACTGGGTCAGCTAACCCTCCCAACCACCCCATGCAGTAGGCCATATTACCACCGACTCTTCCTCAGAATGAGAAAACTGAGGCTCCGAGAGGGTGCATGGGCTTTTAATCAGACAGGCCTGGTACCTGAGCCCAGCTCTACCCCTGAACCACTGTAAGATTTGGGGCAAGTGACTCATCATCCCTGGGCCTCTGCCTAGCTCATCCATAAAATGGGGACCACAAAACCTGATCCCCAGGGGACATTATGAGGACATCTGTGCAGGATGGTGAGCAAGAAGGGGGTATGTTCAGGAGATGCCCGCCCCTTTCCCTGACTCAAACCCTATCACGTGCTGTTTCCTCAGAATCATCTTCCTGCCTGTCCTCCCACTCATCTTCCTGCGAAGCCACACTGGCCTACTTATCACTTCCTAAGTGTCTTTTGCTTGGTCATGCCTCCAACTTTTTAAGAAGGCTGGTTCCCCCAGGTGGAATGTCTTTCACACTCCACGACTCCTATTCATCCTTCAAAAGCCACCTCAGAAATCCCCTCCTCTTTGCAGTTTTCCTTGAACTGTCCTTTCTTGTCTTTGGGCAGAAAAAGTACCTAGGATGGCAGCATCTTATTTGAAGAAGGGGTTCCAAGTGACGCTTTCCTTCCTTCCTCCTTCCTCTCTCACCTGTTTCCACAACATTTTATGTGGACTACAATCTGGAATGCAAACACACGGGCACAGGGACCAAGCAGTTAGCACCGTGATTAGCAGAAGCAGCAGCAGGTTTAGTGTTTACCTGGCGCCGTTCTGAGAGGGTCATGTGTGCTGACTCATTTAATGCCTACAATAACCTGTCGTGCACACAAGGTGATGAGGTCACACAAAACGCTACATCATTTGCACGAGAATATGCAGCTAACCCGCAGCACAGCTGGGAGACAGAAACTGGCCGTGGAGTGAGTGTTACTAACCTTTATGTCATGCGGCTCTTTATGAAAGAGGGGAAGACCAGGTGGCGACCATGGAACCCTGGAGGGTGCCTGCCCCATCGAAGGGGCAACTGAATGTTGGACCCAGAGTTCCAGCTTTTCTGATTTCTCAAATGGAGCCAGAAATATAGACCTTTATGTGACACCTCCCACTTTTTAACATCTTGAGAATAATCTAATGTTTTGAGAGGAGCAGGGACCTTGCAGAAGCTGCTGCCGGCCTTCCTAGTGACTTCTCTGTCTCCCATACATCGTTGTCACCGTGGCTCTCTTCGTTTCCGCCTTAGCTCAAGGCCAGGCCCACAGTCAGCCCTTTGTAAGGGCTGGGACACTTCTGGACTCCACGGTGAGCTGGGCTTGGTTCTCAACAAGCAGAAACCTCGTCCTTGGCTCCTGCCCAGTGCTCAGAGCCTTTTGGCCTGCACTTGGGGTGTGGATGAGGTCCCAAATGGGGGCCATGAGCATCCCCCCACCCCAGGCCACCTCCAGGTCCCCTGTCCAGGCCATGCCTTCCTGCTGCCTGACTGATGCCGACGGTGCTCTAGCTCTCTGTTGCATCATCCCAGTGATTCACCCCACAATGTGGGAGCTGTCTTCATGATCTCACCCACTCGCAGATGAGAAAGCTGGGACACGAAGGGGAAGGGAACTGCGAGCTGAGCTCAGCAGTGGTGGAGCCGGGACTGTCATGCACACGTCCCTGATGCTAGCTTTTCTAGTTTTTATGCCTGCTGTTATCAGGCATTCCACCAAACTTTTGATGGCCCTGTCACACATTCCAGGGCAAACACATGTGTGTCACCTCATGCCATAGCCTGGAGCTGGAAAGTTTGTGGCATACAAATAGGACCCTGGGCCCTGCAGCCTGTTACTCCATGGTTTCTGACTCCTATCTCCTATTGGAGGGTGAGGATGGCACCGGGGGTGTCTCGAGAGAACTCCTGGATAGGGGCTCTGATGGGAGCTTTGCCCAGTGGGGCACGGACAAGCAGGGCTTGTGTCTTGGCTCAGTCCCAGCCTTTGGGCTCAGCAGATGCTGCAGCTAGAGGGAGTGAGCTGTTTGTCCTTGGCCACAGACACACGAACTTGAGGTGTGTGTGCCTGCCTGTGCATGTGTGTGCTTATGCATGTGCGTGCATGTATATACATGCACACCTATGCACCTGCATGTGTACACACGGATGTGTGCATACATGAGCCTGTGCGATGAAAACGAGGGGATCTCATGCCCCAAATTCAGATCCTGTGAAGTGAGTTGAGGACAAGTAACAGGAAATTGAACTGAACCCAGAGATGTCGATTTATAGAAAAGGCTGAAATAAAAACCAGTCCTCCAAATACTTGTCACCTGAATGCCCATCAGTAGCCACACCCACAGTGGAAAACTGCTGTGGTTTAAACAAATAAGTGGATAACTCTCGAAGAAATGACTACGGGGAGAATGGGCCAGGTTGCAGAATGACAGGGATGACACCATTTCTACTAAACACCACCCACGCATTACCAAGTATTTGACATAGTTTCTATGGGTACGTGTATATGACTGTATAGGCATAAGGAAAGATCTAAAAGGAACACCCCAGATGGTTATCTTTATGGGCAGGGAGGGCAGGAGCTGGGAGGTTACAGACTGGAGAACAGACCATGTGCTGAATTGGGGAACAGCGCGTTCAGTTCTACATAGGTCATGCCACTCAGATGTCCCCGCCACAAGGATGCTTTGGCCCGGGAGTGTTCAGACAGGTCCTCTGTGGACTCAGGGCGGGACTGCCAGGGAAACACACCAGCCTTGGCTGTTGTGTCCCCACGCCCTGGCAAAGGCGGGGTGGGAAGTTGTGGTGCCTTTTGTGGACAGAAGCTCTGCTGTGTCCTCCCTAAACCCTGCGCCTCAGTTTCTACTTCCATGCTAAAGGGGAAAGGTCGTTGCTCCATGACACATGCCCTCCTCTGACCCCCTTGTCACCCCCGTACCTCCCAGCACTAAGTGATATGACATTCTCCAGACATCAACTAAGCCTGCTGAATCCTCCAGGGGTTCGGATCTGACCTCACCAGCACTGTCCCAAAGGGGACATTTTGATGAAAACAAACAAACAAACAAACAAACCCACATTCCCCATAGGGGGGCTGACAGGAGGCTGGGAGGCAGGAGCTGGGGTCAGACTGCCTGGGTTCAGATCCGGATTCGGCAACTTGTCACTGGGATCTAGGGAAGCTCCTCCTCCTCAACATTCAATGATCTCCCTGTAAAGTGGGAGCATCCAGCGCCCACTGCACAGGGACACTTGTGCCGTCAGATCACCCAGTCAGCATTCCGCCTGCCACCTCGCTCATAGTCGCGCTCTCAAGTGTCGCCGTTGTCACATCTTGAACATCTCGCTCCGCCCCCTCCGAGCGAGGACTCGAACCCTCTCTTCTCCCAGACACTCAGGGCACCCCCGCCTCGTCCCTTTTCTGCACACTCAGGGGCGTCCTTCCCTCTGCCCCCAGCGGGTGCAGCCCCCAGGCAGGTCCCGTCGGCGCTGCAAGAGCGGAGCAGCAGGCAGGTTGCACCCAAGCGCCCTGGGTGGGAAACTGAGGCCGGGAGAGCCGAGCGCGCGGCTGACTTGGGCCAGAAGGCGCGGCGCGCAGGGGGCGCGCAGGGGGTCGCTGTCATACCTGCTCAGGCGGCTGCTCTGCGGACGCGAGGATGCGCTCTGAAGGAGGCGACCGCGGCGGCGGCCGAGTGCAGGTGGCGCTGGGACTCCGAGCGCGCACGGCGGCGGAGGGGAGGGAGCAGGCGGAGGGCGGGGAAGCCCCGGAGCGCCCGCGGGCGGAGCTTGCCGGGCGCGGCCGGCCCGGCCTCTGCACCGACCCGGCTCCCGCGGCCACCTCGCTCACGCCGCGAG